CTTGAAGTTGGGTTAAACCCTACTTTATCCTGTGATTTTGGTTGTTAATCTCAACCCGAAACCCTCATCACTAGCCATCCACTTCTTACTAGCTTTGTGACCTTGAATGAAGGTTCAAGGTTACTGTCTTTCTTTGCACCTCATGAAATTTAAATTTGGTCAGCCTAAAATGTGGGGACATAAGGCATCAGTCCTGTAAGGGTAAAGAAAAATATTTGTGGATTTATAAGATTTCAGAAACTATATTCTTGTGAGGGTCAAAGAAAGATATTTGTGGATTTGGGAGTATTCAGATACTATATCATTATATCAGTAGCATATTTACATGCAGAAAATATTGGAGAAAGAATTTTAGCTAATCAAATAGGAACAGAGATCTCAGACAGGAGCAGATAAAAAGGAGAGGAAACAGTGGTAGCAAAAAACTTCTGGCAAATTTTATGTAGAGAGTTAATTCTAAATGTACAATGGTAGGCTCTCTGGGAATACACAATAAAAATTTTAAAGAAGGATTCTTTAAATAGATGTGACACACTGCAAGGAAAATTCTATGCCATCTGGAACTAAAACACCTAGGGACTGGGCTGTGGGGGATGAGAGGTAGAGGAATAAAAGCATTTTGTCTCACTTAGCGCAATCATCTGGACATGAGGAGGAAGCAGAATGGGGAAATGAATCTATTGGAAGATATCTTATTGCAGTACAGGAGGAAACAGAGAATAGCTGGTACTTTATTTTATATGATAGTAAAGAAACTTGTGTTCTGTTATGAGCACTAGAAACAAATACTAATGATTGAATAAACAGTTAATAAAGGAATATGATGAATGAGTACGTTAGTAAGAGAACTTAATGGATAAGTGAACTAATAAGAGTCCATAGTGGAGGCAATTTCCTCTTTTAAAAAGCATTATCTTTTGAATATACACAGGATATACTTTTTTAAGAGAAAAAATCTATATGAGGAAAACATTTTCACTCATTCTCTAGACACTCAGTACTTTTCAGAGATAATCTATGACTATACAAGCATAATAATTCCTTTTCAATATATTTTTCCAGCAACTAAGAAGTTCAGTGTTTGTAATTGCAATAAGAAGAGTGCTAATCTGGCCTGAAATGAAAAGTTTCACCTTATATGTCTCATAAATAGTTTTTAGTAAATCAGGGAATATGCTTATAAAGGGATTACCAAGGCCCTACAACACATGAGTTTGGGGCCACAGGGAGATTAAGATTTAGAATAAAGTTAGGTGAGATCTAAGGCCAAAGGATAGCAGGAGAGTTTGTGTGTGTGTGTGTGTGTGTGTGCGCGTGCGCGTGCGTGTGTGTATGTGTGTTGAGTGGGGCAGGTGGGAGCCTTTGGAGATTGCCTGTAGGCTGCTAGTGAGGTGCCATGTAGGCCTTGGTAGGCCCTTGGGAAGACACATGGTTCTGAAAGGTTGGCACTCTTATAGGTTTTCAAATATTTTTGTTAGCCACAAGGGTGACACTGGGCATCATTACTAAAATTTAAAAATTTTGCCCCTGGGCACACAGGTTACCTTTCTTGTGCTGGCATGGCAAGGCTTGATTTGCAAGATTTTCTTTTGGACTGTCCCTAATTCTTCCCTTTAAAAATAGGAGCTCCTTCAGGGTAAGGAAGGAAGGAGGAAATCATCTCTTCTAACCTACTTTCTCTTCTTCATTCCAAGGACTGTAGAAAGGCACACCAGGTTTGGTTTTGAAATCTGTGGACTTTTAGTGCTGTCCATTCTCTGGAGCGGATGCCTTTAGTGAAGGTAATAAGGAAAGACTGTTTGCTACATCAAGGGAAGATTCATATGCAAATCCCAAGACTCAGATGTTATTTTAGAGGAGTTGGTGTTCATTGTAAATTAGAACTGCCCTGGTTCATTTGCCCACAAGGGCAACTAACTGTATGAGGTGAATATGAGGGAACTGGCAGAATAGGTGGCGTGGAATCTTCCTGAGAGAAAGAATAAAGAGAATTCTGGGTGCAGAGGGGATCAAGGTGTGGACCAAGCACATATCTGTCTTCTTAGCTCCTGTGAAATGTTGTAAAAGTCTTTAGAACAAATAATAAATATGTCATAGCTGGAAAACAAAGAGCAGTCTTTGGGCCAGAAATAGAAACTGTTAAAACAACAACAACAACAACAACAACAACAAAAACACCTTTAAGTTTGAAAATGACAGTCAGGGTGCAGTGGCTCACGCCTGTAATCCCTGCACTTTGGGAGGCCAAGGTAGGCAGATCACAAGGTCAGGAGATCGAGATCAGCCTGGATAACACAGTGAAACCCTGTCTCTACTAAAATTACAAAAAATTAGCTGGGTGTGGTGGCACGCACCTGTAGTCCTAGCTACTCGGGAGGCTGAAGCAGGTGAATCGCTTGATCCCAGGAGGTGGAGGTTGCAGTGAGCCAAGATTGCACCACTGCACTCCAGCCTGGCAACTGAGCGAGGCTCTTGTCTTAAAAAAAAAAAAAGTTTGAAAATGACAGAAAAAGTGGAAAGTTGCCTGGGATATGCTTTTACTGCAGCCTTTCTAATAAACCTGTCCCCACTCCGTGTTCATGTCTTTGCTTGTCCTAAACAGCATGGGACTCATCAGGCCAAAGTGGTCATTTTTGGCACTTGGCTAGAGATGGTAGTGAAGCAGCGTCATTTGCCTGGGGAAATGCCAGAGGTTTGTTGTCTCACAGTAAGGAAATTGAAGATGTGAACACTAAAGGAGTGGGTTTAAGAGAGGAAGTTTAATAGGCAAAAGAAAGAAGAGATAGCTTCCTCGTGTGGAGGAAGGGTGCTTGAGTGAGTTTCTGGGTTTGGGGTGAGACGTGGTTGGTTTTATAGATGACCTTGAGGAGGCAGTGTCTGTTTTACATAGGGCTCAGAGGATTGGTTGGACCAGGTGTGCTATTTACATGATGCACAAAGAGGCTTTTGTTATTCAGATGGAGTCTCTCCGTGGCTGGTGCCGTGTTGCTTGCACACGTGAAGACAAAGAAAAGAGGTAACTTCCATGTTGAATATGCCTGGCTTCCAGGTATCCGTTTTCTATTGGCATAGGTGCCAGCACTCAGGTATGCAAGCTTTTAGCTTGCTTGTCTATCCTTGTAGCTTGATATTTTTTGTTAGAAAAGAAATTATATGGGGCTGTTTTTTTTATGAAAAGAAAAACCTTAGCGAGGACTCTCTTACCTAACTGCCTAAATAATTTCTTTTTAGCTCCTATTATCAGCAGTGCCTGCTCCTGATAGGTGATGATCATGAGGGGGACCAAGAGCCTCTAAACTTAGAGACAAGTTGCCAGCACTTTCTAGATAGATTGTTTCCCTCCCCAGCAACCCCTGCTGGTCAGTTTGACAAACAGAGGAACACAAGTTCTCAAATATTCAATAAGCAGATAACCCCAACATCACCAAAAATATCAAGTTGTGATGGCATTTTGTCAAATCGTCTTTACTTTTTATCTGCATCATCTGTTGCTTTCTGAGGGAAGTGTTCTGAGGTCCCATTGTGACTGCGGATTTGCCGATTTCTTTTTGTACGATGGTCAGCTTTTGCCATTCATTCTTTTGTAGTTGTATTGTGCTGTGTTGTGAGGAAGATTCATGACCTATCTTGTGGGAGAATTCTGTATTTAGCAGATGTTCATCTTAAGTTCTATTTTGCCATGTATTGATATTATTACTTTGCTTTTCAGTTTAACATTGATTTAGTATATCTTTTTTCTTTTTTTTAACCCTTGCGTGCTATTTCAGAGATGCTTTCTTATGTACTGACTGTGACCCCCAAATTCATATGTTGAAGCCTCAACTCTCAATGTATTTGGAGGTGGGGCTTTGAGAAGTAATTGAAGTCATGAGGGTAGAGCCCCCATGATGGAATTAAGTCCTTCTTAGAAAAGAAAGAGAATCTGAGCTCTCCTCTCTCTCCACTGTGTGAGGGCAGAGAGAAAAAGCAGCCATCAACAAGCTGAGAGAAGAGGACTGAGAATGAACTCTACCTTGCCAAAGCCTTGTCATATCCCTTCCCAGTTTCCAGAAGAGTGATGCATCAATTTCTGTTGTATAAGCCACTCAGTTTATGATTTTTGCTATGGCAGCCAGAGCAGATTCTTGGACTTTGTTTTGAACTCAATATGAAAAACATATATTTTAATAAGAAAATTGCCCCGTTCATTTTTATTGTGTTTATTGATAACTTCGGGCTTATTTGTGCCATACTTAAGAAATCCTTCTTCCTCTTTCTTACACTTTCTTGTTGTTTCTTTAATCCAAGTGCATGATAATGTTTGGAAATCACTCTCTTAACAGGGCCACAAAGGGCTAGATAAGGGAATCTGGCTTGCTGGCTTGCATTTAGGGAAGGGGCAGAGGAGGGAAGCTGTGCTAAGATGATCTGAGCCCCAGATCCTGGTTAAACATCCTCTCCTGGATACAGGATCAGCCCGAGGCACTATTTTTAAATAGGCAACTTTTATTTGCTTTGTCTTCTTTCATCATCTGTATTGGCTTTTGCATCTTGAGTGCCAAAATATAGCTGTTTTCATATTACCCCAAGTTCCTGAGTTTATTTTTTTGTGTAAGAATTTTCCACCCTTTGAAATCCAAAAGGAAATGTTTCCCTTCTTTCTCAGACCATGCTTTTATTTTAGTCAATGTAACAAATCACCCAGGTCTTAGGAGTTTAGAAATCTGATTGGATTGGTTCGTACTAAGCTATAACAGATCTACCACAGCCTTCTAAGATGAACTGGACTTTTTTTTAAAAAAAGCTCCATGACCTATACAATTCTTTAATTACTGGAACTGCACACTTTAAAATCGCATCAAATATTAACATTCAATTTTGTGGAGGTTTATTTTTTATGGAGAGATGAGGATAGGTGTTGGTTAATACTGATAAACTTTACTCTTACAGCCAATTCTATTAAGATTTCTGTTTTAAATCTAGACTATCAGAAAAAATGAAAATGTCTTATTTATTTATTTTTTTGCTATAGCTTCCATGTTCATAGTGGTCCAAGTTCCAATGTCGGGATGGCAGAGGGGAGCCAAAAGTGGCCACATGTTGTTCATGAAGTGTATTTTATTTTTTTATTTTTTTTTTAAGATCAGGGATTTTGTAATGTAAATGTTCAATTAGAAAGTTCTTATGATAGTGCATGGCACGTGTCCTTTCCATCATCTGGATTTTTCTGCTCTTTTTGTCTGGCTCACTCCTACTCACTCTCCAGTCCTCATCTTAGTGGTCACTTCTCCCTGGAATGCCCCTGTCCCTTGATCATACCCTTAAGATAGCCATGGTACAAACACCAAAGGCTGAACTTATAACCAGACTCACAGGCAACACTTTGCCCTATGCTGTGTTTCCCTAATGATGAGGAAGTGAAAAAGGAGGCACAACAAATGTCATTTCCATAGCAGAGGCCTCAAGTCCAGCAGACTTGATTCTCTGGATTTCCTTTTCTGCATAACAATGATGAAAGGTAGCCTAGGAAAGCCATTTGTCTTAGGTTTCACCTTTTATACCTTCCTAGTCACTAAACTAAGAGACTGATTCCATTCTTTAGTGTAGCCATTGCTTCATAAATCTATAAATAGCACGGGTATTTATTTACAATGAAGCATTCATATAGATTAGGAATATTCTATTGACCAATTTTATTAAAGTCCTTCATTTATCTTCCAGATAGTAGATTCTATCAACCAAGTTTCATAAAGAATTCTAATTCCCAGAGGTAAGAACTGAGCCTGGCTTTTTAATTACATGTTTGCTGGTAACCCCGTCCTTCCTTACAAAGCTTATGCATATTTAAAGACTATGCCCTTCCCTGCCTCTTGCTTGGATTGCAAACTCCTCAGCAGTATGGCAGTGTCTTTTAACATCAAGTCTCAATGCAAGAAGAGTTCCTGGAACATTATAAATACCCAACAAACATTCGTAAGTGAATAAAGCTATTCTGTAGTGTCTGCTTTAATATTACGAGATGGCTTGCCCGAGATTGCTAAGCAGCTTCATTATCTAAAATGGAACTAGATTCTGTGGGTAGCAGGTCCATTGGTGCCACCCACAGGTGGCCTCAAGGAAACCATTGTGCCTCACAGATCTAAGGGAGTCTTCATTAAATTCCAGCACAGAGAGGTAAAATGGAATATTATTCTGACGCAGATATTTCATGAATTGTACCATCGCCTGTCTCATCTTGCCTCTCTTTCGGTATATTTCCATGCAGTAGCCCATTCCTAATTCACAAGAAGGGTCCATGGTTGTCCATGAGACCGGGACCCCCTCTGGGCCCAGCAGACAGGCTGTTGGCAGGGCTTCTATGCAGCGCTTGACATAACGCAGGCTCCTTTCATTCTTCCCTTGCCTCCACCTGTCATTTACCAGCCCAGAATAAGAGACATCCAGCGGGGCATACTTAAAATTGGGAGTTTCACTGTAGAAAACAAAAAGAAAGACAAAAATGTTCATCCTCACTCCTGTAATTTCTGGGTACCATCTCATTCTAGAGATCCCAGGCACTCCTCTTGTTTAAAGACCTACCATTGCAAAGTTGTGAATTTTGACCATTGATAACCTTTATGCATCCCAAGGTATGAATTCATCCTGTCTTCACTCCAAAACTGATTTATGTGAATTACAAAAATGTACAAGGAAGAGCAATTATAAATGATGAGCACATGTATTTTTTACCTCTCAAATTCAACATCTGGGTGGCCTGTCTCAGCCCAGCTTCCAAACTTGCTTTTATTGGAGGCATTGAGGTTCAGGATATCTTCCGTAATACAGAGGATTGCTCTCGAATGCTCTACCTTCACTGACTTTGAAAATGCAGCCTCTCTTATCCCCTCACCTAAACTTTCTTGAAAACCTGGGAAGAGACAATAAAGCAATATTGTCAGACAGAGTTTTCTATTTATACTGCTCCCACCTGATTAATACCTCAATGCTTAGTAGTTTACAAACTTGAGTTTACCCCACAATCAGCTAAAGTCCTTGTCACAATACAGATTTCTCTACCTCTCCCAGCCCCCAGAGTCTCTGTGAATTTACATTTCTAATGAGCTCTCAGGTGATGCTAATGCTATTAGTTGAAGACTCAATTTGAGAAGCACTGCTGCTTGCCCATTTCTTCAGACTCTTTACCTTGGATTTGGAGTATCTGTTTCCAGTTTATGATCTCGCAATTTTTCAAAACTTCTTGTGATTTTTGAGGCTCTTTGGAGAATATACGATACACATTTGTGTATAAATCCATGTCATCAGTCATCTCCTGCATAGGATGGTGAAAGGTCAGGTCATTCCTTTGAACTTTTTCTACACCTCTCACTGATGGCAATTATTAGAAAAATGAAAATCCAAAAGACAATTTTTAACAGTGGCCCACAATGGCTGCAGTTGGGCACGTGGATAATAAAACCTAGGCCTGTAAGCTACTGCTGATCTCTTGCCTGTATAACTGGAGGTTGTTAAATATTTCACTGACAGGTACTGGCTATAAACCTGGTTATCAGATACAGAACAAAGATAAGATGAAATCAGCCACCCTCCACCAGGCCTTAAGATGTCTCACCTTTCTCCCTACCAACTCAACTGCACACTTACCTTATCCTATTTATAGCATCACCAAGCACCCAGCAGAATCAAAAGAATGCAACAGTTGCTTTTCTCCCTGCTTCTCTCACCTCCTGTGCCACACATATCTCTTTGTTATATATGCTGTGCCCCATGTAACGTGTAGGACACATATGTTTCTAGGATTAAGTCCTTAAACTCGAACAAATTCAACCATGATTTCTGTAAGTTTTAGTGCATACGGTTTCACCAGACACCTAGAATCTATAGTATCCTAGAATCTACAATGTCCAGGGCTTGGGCAAGATACTTTAGTGTATATAAACATTAACAAGACATTGCCTTTTCTCAAGGATATAGGATATCAGCCTATTTGAAGAGTGATGCTGTCTTTACAGAAGCCCACAAAATAGAATGAAGTAACTGAATTTTTGGTAGCACTCTGGGTAATATATGTGGTGTTAGACTCATGGGTTTGAAAGAAAGAGACTTGTGATCCCATTCTGACAAGCCACAAACTTCATGGGAAGATGAGCACCTGTTTCTGAGGGGAAATATAAACAATAAGTATGAGAGTTTTAGCAGTGAATGTATTAATAGTATGTTGGAAGTTGTATTGTTAAAGAATAAAACAGAAAATAATATAACCAATTTTAAAGAAACTTTCAAGAATTTGGAGGTGCTTTTATAAAGGCAAGTTCCTGAATATGGCCAAAACCAAAACCTCAGTAAATTTAAAATAGTAGATGTTTTAAAAGACCCAATTTTAAAAGAATGACTGAAAATAGCCAAGTACATATCCAAAGAATTATAAAAATATCAAAGTAAACTAGAATAAAACAAATGGAACAATTTATAAAAATTAAAGCTATAAATAATGAAATGGATAACAAGGCATAGTGCAAAGGATACATAAAGCCAAAAGTTCATTTTTAAATGGCAAAAAGAGAAAGAAAGAAAGAAGAAGAAAGAGACAGATAAACTGCTGGTAAGGCTACTTAAGGAAATACAAGAGGAAGAGAAAAAAACAAAAAGCATAGAGTATGAGAAATGAAAATGGAAACAGAGAAACAGAGAAAAGAACAAAAGAATTATAATAGAAGATTATATGCTACCCCAAGGCAACATATTTACTGATAAAAGAAATTAATGTTATCCCTCAAGAATAAACTATCAAAATTGACTTTCAAAAACTAGAAAACTTCAACAAACTAATAGAAAATGTCAGAATGAAATTAAACACATAACATTTAAAAAGTAGACAAGGATTATGGCAACATGTTCATGTTGCTACAAAGAACATGATTTTCCAGGTTCATTCATGTCTCTTCAAATGACAAGAACTCATCGTTTTCGATGGCTGCATAATATTCCATGATGTATATGTGCCACATTTTCCCTGTCCATTCTATCATCAATGGGCATTTCGGTTGGTTCCAGGTCTTTGCTATTGTAAACAGTGCTGCAATGAACCTGGAAACCATCATTCTCAGCAAACTGACACAAGAACAGAAAATCAAACACCGCATGTTCTCACTTATAGGTGGGTGTTGAACAATGAGAACACATGGACACAGGGAGGGGAGCATCACACACTCGGGTCTGTCAGAGGGGAAAACAAGGGAGGGAGTTGGGGAGAAATAGCATGGGGAGAAATGCCAGATATAGGTGATGGGGAGGAAGGCAGCAAATCACACTGCCATGTGTGTACCTATGCAACAAACTTGCATGTTCTTCACATGTACCCCAAAATCTAAAATGCAATAAAGAAAAACAGTTAAAAGAAAAAAAAAACAAAGGACATGATTTTATTCTTTTCTGTTTGCAGGGTAGTATTCCATAGGAATATATGTACTATGTTTCTTCATCCAATCTACCACTGATGGGCACCTGGGTTGATTCCATGTCTTGGCTATTGTAAACAACATAGCAATGAACACACAAGTGCATGTGTCATTTTGGTAGAATGATTCATTTTCTTTTGGGTATTTACCTAGTAATGGCATTTCTGGGTCGAATGGTAACTCTGTATTAAGTTCCCTAAGAAATTTCCAGACTACTTTCCACAGTGCAATATTTCTAAGCAAATTAATGCTGGAACAGAGAACCAAATATCACATGTTCTCACTCTTAACTGGGGCTAAGCATCGAGCACACATGGGCATAAATATGGGGAAAACAGACACTGTAGACTACTAGAAGAAAAGGGGCTGGGTTAGAAAACTACTTCCTGGGTACTATGCTCACTACCAGGGTGGTGGGATCTGTCTGTACTCCAAGACTCAGCATCATGCAATATTCCCACGTAACAAATCTGTACATGTACCCCCTGTATCTAAAAGGAAAGTTGAAATTTAAAAAAAATAAAAAGTAACCAAAATAAGATTATTTTACATTTAAGTTATACATAAGCCAAAAACGAACACATAATGTTAATAGTAGACTTTGGTAATAGATGAAAAGATCCCAATGCCAAATCTGGTAAAGAAATAACAAAAAGAGAGTTATTGACCATATTCCCTTATGAAGACAGATGTAACAATTCTGAATAAAATATTCAGTAGTATATCAAAAGAATGTGAACATGAACAGCTTGTTTTAGAAAGGCCAGAATGGCTTTGATTGGAAGAGCTTTTAGTGTAATAAACTAAAGGAGGGAAAATTATGTATGAGTATATAAATTGCAAAAAAGAAAAGAAAAAAATGAAATAACAAATTTACCCTCCCTTCTAAATGTAAGTTCTGTGAAAGTAGGGACAACAGGAAAATGCTCTAAACTTGTAAAGACGGAATCAAATGTAATTCCAAATGTAAGCTGTTATAGCCATTTTATTAAAATCAGGAATGAGACAAGGATAGAAATATTATTGTTAGTTGGTATTGTTTTCTTAGGTTGTACATTATGCAGGAAGGCAAGAAACTAAAAACCCATACAAATATTGGCAAAGAAGAAGCAAATTAGTTTGTAGAATATGGTATTATGCATTTAGAAAATCCAAGAGACTTTGACAAAAACTAAAACAAATAACACCGCACACAAACAAACAGGATTTTAAAGAATAGTGTGAACATATTTGGAAATAAAGAATACAAATAAAAAGCAATAACAAAATAATAATGCTCATAAATAGAAATGGAAAAATAATTCAATAGACTTAACAAATAGTATAAAATACCTAAGGGTAAACTTAATGGAAAATCATGTAGTTTACCACAGGAAAACACTAAAATTTTTACCAGATGGCATAGAACAGAAACTGAAAAAATTTAGAATCCTTCCACAATTGTCTAAAAACAATTATCACAAAATATCACAAAATATTAATCCTTCCACAATTGTCTAAAAAAGCCACTCCAATACAAATTACAATTACAATATTTAGTTGGGGTAGTTGGTAGGAAACTGGAATAGTCTATGTTCATATAGCTTTTAAGTCTATTAGAAATAGGAAAGTAAGAAAAAGATTGGTGGAGGGTGATTTGCTTTATTAGATATTAAAATTTGCCACAAAACCACTGAAAAGACTAGAAACACATACTGAAACAGATATGAAAATGTATAAACATGTTATATGACAAAATAGATGTTTATGTTTCAGTAGTGGAAAGATTTATTTCATAAATAATACTAACATAATTAGCCAGCCATAAGGGAGAAAAATATAAAAGAATGATAATTCATGCTATTCAAAAATATATTTCAAATAGAATTAAGATTGAAATGTCAAAAGTAAAAACTTACTGTAAGACAAAATAAGAAAACATTTGTATGATCTTGGAGTAGGAAAATCTTCCTAATTATTAATAAAAAAGCAACAAAACCTAAGAAGTCATAGTGAAAAAGATAATATATTTTATTACATTGAAATAAAAAATTTCTTCATGTCAAAATCTCCATCAACAAAATAAAAAATAATTCTAAATTGGGCAACAAATTTGTAGCATACACGTTGTATTAGTATTCCTAGTATCCAAAACACTTACAGAATTTTAAGAATGACACAAAACTCCAGTGTAAAAATGGTCAAACAATATAAAGAGTTTAGAAGTAAATCCCAAATGACTAATAAACACATGCAAATATAATATGTTCAATATCACTAGTCAGGGAAATGCAAAGTAAATCTACAATAAGATGCCATTTTTCACCCACCAGTTTGTCACAAATTAAAAGAGGGATAACACCCAGTGCTGGTGGGAATATGGAATTCTTCCATATATTGCTAATGGAAATAAAATTGTAGAACCCTTTGGGAAGGTAATATGGAAATGCCCATTTAGAAAAAGATAAACTGTGACTTGCAGATATTCCTTTTGGAAATCAATTGTATTGAGGAAACTTTCCAGGATGTAAAGACATATGTACAAGGATGTTTATTGAAGCATTGTTTGTAGTGGCAAAGTGCTATAAATAATTTGAACCCAATAGCAGGAGAATGACTGACTAAATAGCACTGCATTGACTCTATGGAATACCACAGTTATTAAAATGAGTATGTTAGTACTGTATTGATTCACCCAAAGGGATGTCCATATGTTAAAGCCAAATTAAAAAGTGATGACAGAAGAGATCATCAGTGAATATCCCTTTGTGTGTTAATTTGGGCAAAGACACCAATTACCTGAAGGAGTAGAAAAGAAGGAGAGGAGGGAAGGGGAAGTGAGAGGTTATTAACTTCTTCAAATCATGTTGGATTTTTCCACTTGTATAATCATCACATATTATCTTTTTGATTAAAAACCAACAAAGAGATCCAAGATGGCTGATTACTAGCAGCTCAGGATTGTAGCTCCCAGTGAAAGCACAGAGAACGAGAGGATACTACACTTTCAGATGAATTTTTGTTGCTCACGGACCAGGAGATTCCCAGCAGAGGAGCCCCGTGGGTTGCCAGCGCGACTCTTGTGGCCAGCTCCGTGGTTTTGCCAGCACCTTGGTGCCACAGTTCTTGGTGCAGAGTAAACGGGACTGGGTCCCCTTCTGGTTGACGTTTGGAGCTCTGGGAAGGCAGAGTCGCCCATTCAGCTAATTGAAAAAGGGACTCAAGAGGGAAGCCAGACCGGAGATTCCCAGGCAGAAAGGCACCATGAATCTTAATGCCATTGTTTTAGCTGGCACAGTGGGTTACTCAGATTTTGCCGCTGGGAATCAACAAGTTTGACGTCCACTCAGAGACCTAATTTGAAAGTCGGTAATTACAAAGATGACAGGTGGATAAATTTACAATGATGGGAAGAAACCAGTGTAAAAAGGCTGAGAATACTCAAAATCAGAATGCCTCTCCCTCTACAGGGGATCACAGTTCCTCATCATCAGGGGAAACTAAGAACGTTGAAAAAAGGTTTGACAAAATCCTAACGAGAATAGACAATTTAGAGAGGAATGTAAGTGAATTAAAGGAACTGAAGAATACAATAAAAGAACTCCATGAAGTATGCACAGGTTTCAACAGTCGAATTGATCAAGCAGAATAAAAAATATCAGAGGTCGAAGACCAACTTAATGAAATGAAATGAGAAGACAAGATGAGAGAAGAAAGAGTAAAAAGGAATGAGCAAAATCTCCAAGAAATATGGGACTATGTGAAAAGACCTAATTTACGTTTGATAGGTGTACCTGAATGTCATGAAGAGAATGAATCCAAGCTGGAAAATATTCTTCAGGATATTATTCAGGAAAACTTTCCTAACCTAGTAAGGCAGGACAATACTCAACTCCAGGTAATACAGAGAACACCACAAAGATATTCCTCAAGTACAGCAACCCCAAGACACATAATCGTTAGATTCACCGGGGTTGAAATAAAGGAGAAAATTCTAAAGGCAGCTAGAGAGAAAGGTCAGGTTACCCATAAAGGGAAGCCTATCAGACTCACAGCAGATCTCTCAGCAGAAACCCTACAAACTAGAAGAGAGTGGGAGTCAATATTCAATATCCTCAAAGAAAAGAATTTTCAACCCAGAATTTCATATCCAGCCAAACTAAGCTTCATAAATTAAGGAAAAATAAAATTTTTCATGAACAAGCAAGCACTCAGAGATTTCATCGCCACCAGGCCTGCTTTACAAGCGCTTCTGAAAGAAGCACCATACAGAGAAAGGAACAACTAGTATCAGTCATCCCAAAAACTTACCAAAAGGTAAAGAGTATCTCCATAATGAAGAATCTATACCAACTAACGGGCAAAATAGCCAGCTAACATTAAATGACAATGTTAAACTCATAAACATCAATATTAATCCTAAATTTAAATGGATTAAATGCTTCAATCAAAGACACAGACAGGCAAATTGAATAAAAAGTCAAAACCCATTGGTTTGCTGCATCCAGATCCATCTCATAAGCAAGGACACACAAAGGCTCAAAATAAAGGATTGGAGGAAGACTTACCAATCAAATGGAGAGAAAAAAAACAAAACAGAACAGGAGTTGTAACTTTCATCTCTGACAAAATAGACTTTAATAGTAACAAAGACTAAAAGAAACAAAGAAGGACATTACATAATGGTAAAAGGATCAATGCAACAACGGAGTCAATGTTCATAAATATATATGCACCCAATATAGGAGCACCCAGATACATAAGACAAGTTCTTAATGATTATAAAAAGACTTGGACTCCTGCACAATAATGGCAGGAGACATTGACACCACATTTTTAATATTTGACAGATTAATGAGATAGAAAATTAACAGGGACATCTATGATTAGAACTCAGACCTGGAACAAGTAAACTCAGAGAATATTTATAGAATTCTTCACCCCAGGTCCACAGAACATACATTTTTCTCAGTATGACATTACACTTATTTTGAAAGCGACCCGTAATTGGAAGTAAATCACTCTTCAGCATTTGCATAGCATTTCACAGACTTAAATGAAATATTGGTTGGCTGTTTGTTATTTTCTTCCCTTATTCGTTCCTGTCTCTGCTGTTAAGCACAATTATTGGCATAAAAGAGGTTTTCAATACCTATTTTTAGATTGCATTCCAGCCTGGGCAATAGAGTGAGACTCCTGTTCTCTCTCCACCTTTCTCTTTCTTTCTTTCAAAAAAAAAAAAAAAAAAAAAAACCAACCAACCAAACAAACAAAAAGACAAAAAGAGTTATTAAATTCATTTTAGGAATTGTTACAAGCTGATGACTGTACTCTGAATGATAATCTGGTAAAACTAGAATGATAATCCCTTAGACAAATAAAACATCTTTTAACTCATTCATTTATTGGTATATTCAACAAACATTTATGAGAACTCACTGTACACCCCTTGCCCATATGGTTAATATTAAAAAAAAAAAACAAAGAAAATATTAATTTTTTTCTAGATAAATTCTCCTGCATTCCACCCCAAAAAAGTTCTTATTCAAAATCAAATTGACTTTCAATACTGAAAGAAACATGGTATGCTGTGGAATCAGACTAGGTGAATGTGTTTCCAAGTAAATTGCATCACATTTCATTCTTTCCATTTTTTTGTTCATATATGTGTGCTGTGGAACTTTTGTATTTTAATATTTTTGTTTATTGACTCATTTTATAAAAACTAGCCTTGTTCAAGCAATGCATGTATGAAGTCATGGTTTAATGCTGCAGTTACATTGCTAAAATACACATAATAACTACAAAGTTATTGAAGTAAAAAGAACTATTTGACCTCCTACAGTTATTTAGCATATTACACTTCAAAGAAATTGGAACGTGGAATTTAATAAACTAAGCATTAATCTTCCATTCCAAATTGTCAGGAAGCCAGAAGATCAAAAGAACATCCCTAGGGAAGGTGTTAGGCTCAGCCTGGTTCCCACCCCCTTTACCCCTTTGTTCCTCAAGCTAGGGTCATTTTGTCACTTTCTTCATCCCAATCCTTACCCACTTTGGAAACTAGTCTTGAACTGGGGTGGCTTATCATTATTTGTGGACTCGGCAGTCTATACCTGCATGAAGCTAGGCTGGCGATGAGGCTTCAGTTTCCTAACTAGATGTGCATGAAACACACACACACACACAAAGGGGAAGTCTTTAGGGCAAGTAAATAGACCTAGGTTTGTATTAATATTTCAGCTTGTTTATTCCTTGTGTGTGTCCTCAGCCAATATGGCTGATTATGATAAATATGATCTACAATTATGTGCTATGTACTGTCTTTGATATACAGTATCTCATTTAAACCTTGTGTAATCCTCTGAAGAAGGTCCTCTTATTTTTCCCATTTTAACAGATGAAGAAACTCAGAGAAAGGCCTGTGGTTACATAGCTACTAAAACTCGCAGAGTCCACTGAACTTGAATTCAGATTCTGCAATGCTTTAATATCTGGTATCCAGCAGCTACATGACTTAATATTTCTCAGTGTCATTTCCTTATCTCTAAGTCGGAGATACTAACACTCACTTCATAAGATTGTTCTGATGGTGACATTCACTAACAAAAGTACTTCCACATAGTTGATAAACAGTAGTTATGAGTAACTTCCCTGGTTCCTGAGAAACAATTAAAAACAAACAAACAGGGTCTAACCCTGTTGCCCAGGCTGGAGTACAGTGGCGTGATCTTGGCTCACTGCAGCCTTGACCTTCTGGGGCTCAAGCCATCCTCCTGCCTCAGCCTCTTGAGTAGTTAGGACTATAGGCATGCACCACCACACCCTGGTAATTTTGTTTATTTTTTTGTAGAGATGAGGTCTTACTATTTGCACAGACTAGTCTCTAACTCTTGGCCTCAAGTGATCCTCCTGCCTTGGCCTCCCAAAGTTCTGGGATTACAGGTATAAGACACCATGCCCAGCCCTGAGAGGTAATTTTTACTAGTAGACTTCTGCTTTGGTTTTTAAGTCACTGTTCTGATATCTCAGACACCCAGTTTTCCCTGTAAATTGGCCTCCTTTCAGCCCCTGCAGGTGATCCCTGCCACCTCAAAGACATCTTAATCTGTGAGTGTCAGCCTTGACCTTTTCTTCTCCTTTCCCCTACACCCTCTTTCCCAGATGAATCCTGTGCCTTACAGGATGGGTGGGAACACGTGACACTCATGCAAGGTGCCAAGTACTGAAGGAGTGTTTTAAAATACTCACATTTCCTTTCACCCTATAAGCAGCCCTGGTGTCTGACCTGGTCAGTTCCTCAGGCCCTTTGTACCTGCCTGGCTCCACCAGTCCCTGTTTGTGTGCATACCTGTTTTTGAGGCCGGATAATAACCGTCTGATACTCGGGCCAGGAGTCCACCAGCACCTCCAGGTTGAAGGGGTTCCCGTGATTGATGTGATACACAGAGCCATACACCTGAAGGAGGGATGGAAAGGACTAGGAGAGGTTAAGATGTCCAGAGATGGGGATTTGAATGTAAAGAGGAAGAGAAAAATGGAGGTGAAGAGATGGTACTGGGACAAAGTCAGTGACAGTGAAATGAGCAGCATCTCCAGGACAATACTGATGGATGTGAAGTCACCAGCAAGCAGGCAGAACTCACAGGTAGATGTTCTTGTGATACCAAAGAGCTACTGTGCACTAACTGGGCACTTGGCAGTGTTCTTAACACTTACATTGTGTGGATTTATTCAGTGTCCACAACAATTTTAAGAAGTAGGTGCTAATATTGTTCCCATTTCATTGATGCAAAGATCAAAGGTAAAGGCATAGAAAGGTAAAGAAACATGCACGAAGCCATGCGACTAGAACGTGGCAGCCTAGGAATGCATATCCATTCAGTCTGGCTCCAACACTAGGCTTGTAGCCACCATTCTCCACCGCCTCTCTAAATGAATGACAAAACCTGCAGAGCGGGCCTAGCTGCCTCTTCCCAAGGAGAAGCAGCAGCTCTTGACTTGCCTCCTTCATCCCCAACCTCATCCTGTTTCCCAGCTTCAACCCTCTGCAGAAAGTCAGGAAGGACCAGAATCACGAGCCTATTTTCTCATCCTCAACACCCCTGCTCCCATACTGCGACCTCCCACTATTCCCCGACCTTCAGGGACTCAGGGATGCTCTTGGCCAAGGATTTGTATAGGGCCAGTAGCTTCTGGGAATTATTCAGTAGGATCATTTTGTGGGATACTTCAGTCTTGAGTCCTTCAAGAAGAAACTCTGAAAAGATAAGAAGTGAAGGGAAAATGTTAAGGGACCAAATGAATTTAGGATGCACTTTACACATCTCCATTCAAATAGCACTCATGATGTAGTTACTGTTAGTATCATCCTCATTCTGAATACACCAAAGCTCAGAGAGACTAAGAACATTTCTCAAGTTCTTAAAGGGATAAATGCCAGAGTCAGATTTTGAAACCATATATGAATGGCTCCAAAACCCATGCCCTGCCTCTCTGGTGGAATGAATTAAAAGTGAATATTGAGAGTTCTGTGAGCTTCCCAAATGCCTGTGGTAGAACACTCTACCCCCACCATCATCATAACCATTTCCCTGTATTTTGATCATCAGATGCCTGAGAAGTCTTTCATCTGGAATAGAAAATATCAGCCCTCTAAGAAAAGTTGTGACTGGAAAACTTAAGAGCAGGAATTGGCAAAGATTTTATTTAGTTTCTTAGGGCCAAATATTTCAGACCTATGGCCATTTTGGAAGTTGTTCCAGTTTCATTGCAAAAAAGAAAACATGGAAAAATGTTGACACCTATCTATAAACTTCTGTTGAAATAACATTCAGAATTCTTAGAAATGTGCCAATAATTTACCAATAACTTTGAGAAGGTTATCATCACAACTGATAGGTTCAAAGCTTAGGCTGGTTTCAAATTTTATTTCTGCCTCTTACTTCTTTGTTAACTTGCTTAACCAGTCAGAACCTCTAAGTGTTTTCTCTCCACTTTGGAACTGGAAATTAAAATTTTCCAGAGTAATGAGATTACACAATGTAATACATATAAAATGTGTAGCATTATACCTGGCATAAAGTAAGAACAATATTTAACATATGTTATTTTTTAAATTGATTTTATATTAATCAATATGTCATGTATAGATTTAGCAATTATATCCAATAATGTAAAAATAATAAAAAATGTAAAGAACTTACAAAGTTAATTAATGTAAGAGAAAGAACCCACATATCAGTTATTTGAAACAGTCATTAGCAAATTAGTTAATACAGATGTTTGAAATTTTGTATCCATGAAGGTGAAATAGTTCCAAATATATGTTAAATAATAGACAAGGTGAAACAGATTTTGTCTTCTCTGGGGTCAAAGCCTCAAAGTTAGACTATGTTCTGTAGCTATATAAAGCAGTGTTTAAACAAAAGCATCCTTTTGCAAGAACTTAGAATTTCAGAACATTTGAGTACTCAAGGAACTTTTAGTAAATAGAACTGGATCTCTGACATGGGCCTATCTCGTGTCTGATTCTGCTGTTCTTATAGCTGTCAAAAAAGCTGGTCTTTTCCCCCCCAATTCCAAATGCTTTCTTTGCTCTGTTTTTCACCTGATTTAACTAAAATTGCCCTTACCCATGTGTTTTACTATGGTCTTCTCCTTTGAATTTTTGGTCAAAATTTTAGAAGTTTTAATTCAAGATCTACCATGCTATATCACTACCTGCAAAACAAAACAAAAAAAAGCAAAACCAACTTGTATTTTATTTGTCCTGAGAATACTGTAGCCTGGGCTAATACATGTGAACAACTCCTACACCTATCAGCTGCCACATCTTTGTCCCAAGTACCTCTCCGATCCATTCCCTACTCCATCCCCTTGCAATGACCTTAGTTAAGAGTCCCTTTGTCCTTGTACTTAATATTGTTCTTATGACCCCACCATGGCCTCAGCTTCTAACATCTACCCCAAAAAATTTTTCTGTACCCATATTCTTACCATCAACATTTCTTTTCTAAATCAGGAAGCTGCTAAAAGCCTGGATAGACCCCTCCCCACACTCTTTTAAAAAATTGTTTTAAAGTACACATAACGGAAAACTTACCATTTAACTTTTTTTTTTTTTTTTTTTTTAGACAGAGTTTCGCTCTTGTTACCCAGGTTGGAGTGCAATGGCGCGATCTCAGCTCACCGCACCCTTCGCCTCCTGGGTTCAGGCAATTCTCCTGCCTCAGCCTCCTGAGTAGCTGGGATTACAGGCACGCGCCACCATGCCCAGCTTATTTTTTGTATTTTTAGTAGAGACGGAGTTTCACCATGTGGACCAGGATAGTCTCGATCTCTTGACCTCGTGATCCACCCGCCTCAGCCTCCCAAAGTGCTGGGATTACAGACGTGAGCCACTGCGCTCGGCCATTTAACTATTTTTAAGTGTACAACTCAGCAGCATTATCCATATTTGCAATGCTCTACAAGCATTACCACCATCCATTTCCAGAACGTTTTTGTCATCCCAAACATAAACTGCACCCATTAAAACACAATTACTAATTCCTTCTCTTCCTAGCCCCTGGTAACTTTTATTTTACTTTATGTTTCTAGGAATTTGCCTATTCTAGGTACTTCATATAAATGGAATCCTACAATATTTGTCCTCTGGGGTCTGGCTTATCTCATTTAGCATAATGTTTTCAAGGTTCACCTAATGTTGTATCATGTGTCAGAATTTCATTCCTTACCTGGAATAATTTTCCATTTTATATGGAAAATAAGTTTAAAGGCCACTGAAGAAAAATAATAAATTTGTGAATGACAGTAAATACGAGTAGCACACAGTCAGTCAGTAGTCACTGTGAAGACTATAGAAAAGCAATTATAATAAATAATGGGTAAAAAAGAAAAGTAACTTGTACACATCTACCAAAAATGTGTATGCATGTGGACAAGGACTTAAAGGGAATAAATGTATAAATTGCTTTTGGGTGGTGAAAGTATGTGTGATTTATTTTCTATTTCAGAATTTTCTTTAGTACCATTGACATATGTTTATTTTTACACAAGTTTGAAAAAAACATGGAAGGCAATGGAACCATAGTTAAAGATAAGAATTCTGAAAACAGAAGAAATGCTATTTTTCTTTCTTTTTTCCCAGCAGTCCCATCAGCTATCAAGTTTTCCTTTTTTTTTTTTTTTTTTTTTTAAGTGGAGAGGAAAAAGCTCCCTATGTCCCACCATTCTGTGCATGCCCAATCCAATCACCTGGAAAGTGTATAGTCTGCAGTGAGCCCCAAGAATGAGTTCTCAGACTCTCTTCCTTTTCTAAGAAGGGCAGCAGCCATCTTAGGAAGACATCTGATAGCCGTTGGCACCTATTCATAAAATCTGAAAGCTTCCTGGGGATTCTGAGGAGCCTTGCCTTTGCAATATCTTTTGGAGGACTTCGGAGAGACCTAAAAGTCAAAGAATCACTCTATCCCAATCCAAGTTATAATATAAAATTCTTTCAAAGTTACCTTGAGGCAGTGACTAGATGCTTGTACATCTCTTCTGTGTAGCAGCACATTCCTGATTTCTGTTCACCAGGGAACTCACCAAGAGACTCTCCTACTCTCAAATCTTGGAAACATTTTTTTATACCGGAAGTCTTTCTAGGGAAAAAGTTTTTTTTTTTTTTTTTTTTTTTGCTGGCTTCTGAGATGACAGGTGAACACTGGGACCTGGGGTTCCCCTGAAATACTTGCTCTATCTCGGAATTCCTAATGAAGTTGATCTCGATGGTCCAAAGGAGAAGCCTAACTCTTAATTCAGGAGCTTTGGTGATTGAGCAGATTCTGCACATCTGAACTCTCAGGAAGGGGTTGCTCATCCAGTTAGAGGACCTTGAACTGATCGTGACTTTAGATGTCGTTGCACCTCTCTGTAGCAAAGGAACGATGTTTTAACTGACTGGTGGCTGGTGGCAAGGCATAGAAGAGCCAAATAAACACAGGTTCTTTTGGATTAAAAAGATTGATAGCACCAATTGAAATAAATTCCAGAAAAGGATGGGGGTTTCTGGAGCTGTTCTGGGTTGGTGATGAAGTTTCAATGCCTCCTGAGAAATCAGGAAGTGGTATATGGTTTTAGCTAGATCAGGGAATTGGGAAGATGTGGGACATGCTTTCTTGGCTAGGGGTGTCCTAGAACATTTTAAAGCTCTAAAGCCCTCTGTTGTGCTCTAGTCCTTAGAGTCTAAAGAAGAGAAAAATAAAAATTTTGGCTATACGACAAAGCAGTAGGAGACTCTTCATTGCTCCTAAATATCTTCTTCCCTGATTCTTTCATCTTCTGTTTCCTACTTTTCTACCTCAAATTCAGCTTTCATTATTTGCTTAATTCCTGCTAATGCATTCTCTAAATCCATGTCCTAAAACTGTGGTTAAGAAAGACACCCAATGCCTTCTTCCTTCATCTTTTGTGACCAAAAAGCTGATCTGAGCACCTGCCTAACTTCCTGTAAGAGAGGAGAATCAGACATGAGGTTTATTAGAGATTGTCTAGTCTCAAGAAAATAAGCCCTGGAAAGTGGACACATGATTGCATGTGCAAAACTGAGACCAGATACCAGATGTTCTAAATCTCAAGCCATTGTTCTTTGCTTTGTAGGGTGCTGGTTCCCACTTTGTGAGGAATTTTGAATATTGTGGCTCCAAATATCTCATAATAAGTCTCTTTTACTTGAGACTTTAGTTGAATTAATTTATACAAATATTTGATCTGGAAACTTTTCTCTCCCTCTAACCTGGTACTGGCTTGAATAACTTGAACAGCAAGTCTTATTATGTTAAGGGAAAATTTGATTGATTCATCCTCAAATATGTAATTTTGTCTTTTCTAGCCCAACATATTATTTGTCTTATACTTATCAGTCAGAAAATCTGGAAAATTCAATAATCATCAGAAATCTGATACACAAGTCATACTTCATGGAGAAAGAGCCCAACAAGTATTTTTCTTCTATTGTCTTTAACTTTCTTTTTTGTGTAGAACTACTTTTTTGAGGTATAATTTAACATATAAAAGCTGTATGTGTTTAATATATAAAACCTCATGAATATAGAGATGAATACATACTCATGAAACCATGACCCCAGTCTGTGATGCTCCCCTCTTTGTGTCCAAGTGTTCTCATTGTTCAACACCTGCCTATGAGTGATAATATGCTGTGTTTGATTTTCTGTTCTTGTGTCAGTTTGCTGAGAATGATGGTTTCCAGGTTCATCCATGTTCCTGCAGAGGACACAAACTCATTGTTTTTTTATGGCTGCATAGTATTCCATGGTGTATATGTGCCACATTTTCCCTGTCCAGTCTATCATTGATGGGCATTTGGGTTGCTTCCAAGTCTTTGCTATTGTAAACATGTGTGTGCATGTGTCTTTATAATAGAATAATTTATAGTCCTTTGGGTATATACCCAGTAATGGGATTGCTGGGTCAAATGGAATTTCTATTTCTAGACCCTTGAGTAATCACCACACTGTCTTCCACAAGGGTTGAACTAATTTACACTCCCACCAACAGTGTAAAAGTGTTCCTGTTTCTCCACATCCTCTCCAGCATCTGTCGTCTCTAGATATTTTAATGATTGTCATTCTAACTGGCATGAGATGGTATCTCAATGTGGTTTTGATTTGCACTTCTCTAATGACCAGTGATAATGAGCATTTTTTCGTATGTTTGTTGGCTTCATATTTGTCTTCTTTTGAAAAGTGTCTGTTCATGTCCTTCACCCACTTTTGGATGGATTTGTTTGTTTCTTGTCAATCTATTTCAGTTCTTTGTAGACTATGGATATTAGCTCTTTGTCAGATGGGTAGATTGCAAAAATTTTTTCCCATTCTGTTGGTTGCCAGTTGGCTTTAATGGTAGTTTCTTTTTGTCAGAAGCTCTGAAGTTTAATTAGGTCTCATTTGTCTATTTTGGCTTTTATTGTCATTTCTTTCGGTGTTTTAGTCATGAAGTCCTTGCCTATGCCTATGTCCTGACTGGTTTTGTTAGGTTTTCTTCTAGGGTTTTTATGGTGTTAGGTCTTATGTTTAAGTCCTTAATCCATCTGGAGTTAATTTCAGTGTAAGGTGTCAGGAAGGGGTTCAGTTTCTGCTTTCTGCTCATTCCTAGCCAATTTTCCCAGCACCATTTATTAAACAGCGGATCCTTTCCCCATTGCTTGTTTATGTCAGGTTTGTCAAAGATCAGATGGTTGTAGATGTGTGGTGTTGCTTCAGAGGCCTCTGTTCTGTTCCATTGGTCTATGTTTCTGTTTTGATACCAGTACCATGCTGTTTTGATTAATGTTGCCTTGTAATATAGCTTGAAGTCCAGCAGTGTGATGCCGCCAGTTTTGTTCTTTTTACTTAGGATTGTCTTTGCTATGTGGGCTCTCTTTTAGTTCCACATGGAGTTTAAGGTGGTTTTTTCCAGTTCTGTGAAGAAGGTCATTGGTAGTTTGTTGGGGATAGCATTAAATCTATAAATTACTTTGGGATGTATGGCCATTTTCATGACATTGATTTTTCCTAACCATGAGCATGGAATGTTTTTCCATATGTTTGTGTCTTCTCTTATTTCCTTAAGCATGGTTTGTAGCTCTCCTTGAAGAGATACTTTACCTCCTTTGTTAGTTGTATTCCAAGGTATTTTATTTTTCTTGAAGCAATTGTGAGTGGAAATTCTTTCTTGATTTGGCTCTCTGTTTGTCTGTTATTGGGGTATAGGAATGCTTGTGATTTCTCACATTGATTTTGTATCCTGCGACTTTGCCAAAGTTGCTTATCAGTTTCAGGAGAGTTTGGGCTGAGCTGATAGGGTCTTCTAAATATACAGTCATGTCATCTGCAAATAGAGACAATTTGACTCCCTCCTTTTCCAATTTTATATCTTTATTTCTTTTTCTTGCCTGACTGCTCTGGCTAAAACTTCCAGTACTATATTGAATAAGAGTGGAGGAAGGCATTTTTTTTCTAATGCTAGATTTCAAAGGGAAAGCTTCCAGTTTTTGCCTTTTTTCCATATTGGCTTTGGGTTTGTTGTAAATAGCTTTTATTATTTTGTGATATGTTCCATTGATACCTAGTTTATTAAGAGTTTTTAGCCTAAAGGGCTGTTGAATTTTGTTGAAGGCCTTTTCTGCATCTATTGAGATAATCATGTGTTTTTTGTCTTTGATTCTATTTATGTGGTGGATTATGTTTACGAACTTGTGTTTGTTGAACTAGCCTTGCATCCCCTGGATGAAGCCTACTTGATCCTGATGGATAAGCTTTTTGGTGTGCTGTTGCAATCGGTTTGCCAGTATTTTATTGAAGATTTTTGCATCTATGTTCATCATGGAGATTGGCCTGAAGTTTTCTTTTCCTGTTGAGTCTCTGCTGGGTTTTGGTATCAGGATGGTATTGGTCTCATAAAATGAATTAGGGAGTATTCCCTCTTTTTGTATTGTTTGGAATAGTTTCAGAAGGGTTGGTACCAGCTCCTCATTGTACGTCTGGTAGAATTCAGCTGTGAATCCCTCTGGATCTGGACTTTTTTTTGGTTGATAGGCTATTAATTGCTGCTTCAACTTCAGATCTTGTTATTGGTCTATTCAGGGTTTCATCTTCTTCCTGGTTTAGTTTTGAGAGGGTGCAAGTGTCCATGAATTTATCCATTTCTTCCAGGTTTATTGGTTTATGTGCATAGAGTTGCTTGTAGTAATCTCTGATGATAGTTTGTCTTTCTGTGGGATTGGTGGTGATATCACCTTTATCTTTTTTATTGCATCTATTTGTTTATCTTCTCTTTTCCTTTTTATTAATCTGGCTAGTGGTCTGTCCATTTTGTTGATTTTTTTGAAAAACCAGCTCCTGGATTTATTGATTTTTTGAAGAGTGTTGTGTCTCTATCTCCTTCAGTTCTGCTCTGATCTTAGCTATTTCTTGTCTTCTGCTAGCTTTTGAGTTTTTTTGATCTTGCTCCTCTAGCTCTTTCAGTTGTGATGATAGGGTGTCAATTTTAGATCTTTCCTTGTTTCTCATGTGGGCATTTATTGCTATACATTTTCCTCTAGACATTCCTTTAAATGTGTCCTAGAGATTCTGGTACATTGTGTCCTTGTTGGCTTTGGTTTGGAAGAACATCTTTATTTCTTCCTTCATTTCATTGTTTATCCAGTCAGCATTCAGGAGCCAGTTGTTCAATTTCTATGAAGTTGTGTGGTTTTGAGTTAGTTTCTTAATCCTGAGATATAATTTGATTGCACTGTCATTGTGAGAAACTGCTTGTTATAATTTCCGTTTTTTAAAATATCCTTTTTTTTTTCCTGGAGTGATTTAATTCCACTTCTGTGGTCAATTTTATAGTAAGTGCAATGTGCTGTTGAGAAGAATGTGTATCTTTGGCTGTGGGGTGGAGAGTTCTGTAGATGTCTAATAGATCCACTTGCTCCAGTTCTGCATTCAAGTCCTGGATATCCTTGTTGATTTTCTGTCTCGTTGATCTGTCTAATGTCGACAGTGGAGTGTGAAAGTCTCCCACTGTTATTGTGTGGGAGTCTAAGTCTCTTTGTAGGTCATTACAAGAATGACCTCTCTTACCACTCCTATTCAACATAGTATTGGATGCTCTGGCCAGGGCAATAATGCAAGAAAAAGAAATAAAGGATATTCAATTAGGAAAAGAAGAAGTCAAATTGTCTCTGTTTGCAGATGACATGCTGCATAGTTAGAAGACCCCATTGTCTCAGTCCAAAATCTTCTTAAGCTGATAAGCAACTTCAACAAAGTCTAAGGATACAAAATCAATGTGCAAAAATCACAAGCATTCCTATACACCAGTAATAGACAAAGAAAGAGTCAAATCATGAATGAACTCTCAATCACAATTGCTGCAAAAAGAATAAAGTACCTAGGAATATAACTAACAAGGAATGTGAATGACTTCTTCAAGGAGAACTACAAGCCACTGCTCAAGGAAATAAGAGAAAATACAAACAGATGGAAAAACATTCCATGCTCATATTTAGGAAGAATCAATATCATGAAAATGGCAATACTGCCCAAAGTAATTTATACATTCAACGTTATCCCCATCAAGCTACCATTGACTTTCTTCTCAGAATTAAAAAAAAAAAAAACACCTTAGACTTTATGTCAAACCAAAAAAGAGCCTGCATAGCCAAGTCAATCCTAAGGGGGAGAAAAAAAAAAAAAGACTAGGGGCATCATACTACCTGACTTCAAACTATCCTACAAAGCTACAGTAATAAAAAGAGCATGGTATTGGTACAAAAACCGAGATATAAACCAATGGAACAGAACAGACACCTCAGAAATAATGGCACACATCTACAACTATCTGATCTTTGACAAGCCTGACAAAAAATAAGCAATGGGGAAATGATTCCCTATTTAATAAATGGTGTTGGGAAAGCTGGCTAGCCATGTGCAGAAAGCGGAATCTGGATCACTTCTGTTACACCTTATACAAAAATTAACTCCAGATGGATTAAAGATTTAAACATAAGTCCTAACATCATAAAAACCCTAGAAGAAAACCTAGGTAATACCATTCAAGACATAGGCATGGTTAAGGATTTCATGACTAAAATACCAAAGGCAATGGCAACAAAACCCAAAACAGACAAATGGGACTGAATTAAACTTAAAAGCTTCTGTACAGCAAAAGGAACAATCATTAGAATGAACAGGCAACCAAAAGAATGGGAAAAAAAATTTGCAATCTACCCATCTGACAAAGGGCTAACATCCAGAATCTACAAAGAACTTAAACAAATTTATAAGAAAAAAACAAACAACCCCATCAAGAAGTGGGCAAAGGGTATGAACAGACACTTCTCAAAAGAAGATATTTATCCAGCCAACAAACATATAGAAAAAAAGCTCATCATCACTGTTCATTAGAGAAATGAAAATCAAAACCACATTGAGATACCAACTCATGCCAGTTAGAATGGTGATCACTAAAAAATCAGGAGACAACAGATGCTGGAGAGGATGTGGAGAAATAGGAATGCTTTTACACTGTTGGTGGGAGGGTAATTAAGTTCAACCATTGTGGAAGACAGTGTGGTGATTTCTCAAGGATCTAGACAAAGAAATATCATTTAACACAGAAGTCTCATTACTGGGTATATACCCAAAGGATTATAAAGCATTCTATTATAAAGACACATACACGTGTATGTTTATTGCAGCACTATTCACATTAGCAAAGACTTGGAACCAACCCAAATGCCCATCAATGATAGACAGGATACAGAAAATGTGGCAAAATACACCGTGGAATACTGTGAAGCTATAAAAAAGGATGAGTCCTTGTTCTTTGCAGGGACATGGATAATGCTGGAAGTCATAATTCTCAGCAAACCGACATAAGAACAGAAAACCAAACACCACATGTTCTCACTCTTAAGTGGGTGTTGAACAATGAGAATACATGGACACAGAGAAGGGAACATTACATACCAGGGCCTGTCAGGGAGTGGAGGGCTAGGGGAGGGATGACAGGGGTTGGGGGGATAAAGGAAGAATAGCATTAGGAGAAATACTTAATGGAGATGATGGAGTCATGAATGCAGCAAACCACCATGGCACATGTACACTTATATAACAAACCTGCATGTTCTGCACATGTACTCCAGAATTTAAAGTAAATAAAAAATTAAAAATAATAAAGTAACTTTTATATGCACTGTGAAACCATAAACTTCATGTGACTTACTTTACTGAAATATTCACTTTATTGTGGTGATCTGGAACTGAACCCTCAATATCTCTGAGGTATACCTGTAAGTTAAAGAGATATCAGCATTTTCATGTACACTGTAGAATTATTAACAATATCCAAGACATAGAATCAACCTAAGTGTCTATCAACAGATTTATGAACATTAAAAATATGGTATATATGCACAATAAAATACTATTTAGCTTTTAAAAGGAAGGAAATTCTGTCATTTGAAACCACATAGGTGAACTTGGGGTACATTATGTTAAGTGAAATAAACAGGCACAGAAGGATGAATGCCACATTACCTAACTTATATGTGAAATCTGAAAAAGTTAAATTCGTAGAAGCAGAGAGTATAATGGTGGTTGTTAGAGGTTGGAGGAGTGGGTAGGGATTGGGGAGATGGTCACAGTATGCCTAATTTCAGTTAGATAGTAGGAGCAGTCCAATGAATCTATTGCACAGCATGGTGACTATATTTAAAAATACTGTTTCATGACAATTGTTATGAGAATACATTTTAAGTGTTCTCACCAAAACATATAAAGTATATGAGATAATGCATATATTAATTAGCTTTAGTGTGCCATTTTACAATGTATACATATTTTAAAATACCATGCTGTACTCAGTAAATATATACAATTTTCATTCACAGTTAATTATTAAAAAAATTTTACATATTAAAAAAAAAGAAAGAAGAAAAAAAGAAATAGCTTTGTTTCACAGTCCCAGTTTTGAAAACCAAATATTGAAGAGTAATTTCTTTTTCTCTGGGCCGTCATTTTCTAACAGGTATCAGAGCCCATCCAAACATACGATACTGCAAGTTGATACTACAATCATCTCTCAGTATTCTGGAGGAATTGGTTCTAGGACCCCTCAATGATACTAAAATCCACTCATACTCAAGTCCTGCCTTTGGCTCTATGGAACCTGCATATAGGAAGTCTGTCATCTGTGTACACAGGTTTTGAATTCTACAAACATCATATTTTTTATCTGTATTTTGTTGCAGATGTGGAAACTACCAATATGGAGGGTTGACTATTTATTGAGAAATATCCACCTGTACATGGACCCGTACAATTCACACCTATGATGTTCAAGGGACAATTGTATTTTTCAGGATATTTAATAATTATATATATTCATATAGCCCAAAATCCTTAAAAAAATCTTGGGGTCAGTATAATTGTCTATATTTTGTAGATAAAGGAACTGCTATTTAGACGAATTCATCTAAAGTCACACAGGTGGTTAAATGGCAGTGGTAAAACTATGTTTGAATAAATGACTAAATGGTTTTTGATTACATTTGCAACTCAAAGGCACACCAATGTTGAAGGTCCAACCCCCAATGTGACTGTATTTGGAGACAGAGCCTTTAGGGAAGTAGTTAAGGATTAAAGAGGCTTCTGCATCAACAAGGAAACTGGCAGGTAATATGGCCTCAAATAGCTGATAGCAATTAGAAGAAGAATATTTATCTGTACATCTCACTTGAGAGCTCTTGGCAAAGGTTCTGGTTCCTTAGTTCTGGCTCGACTATTTAATCTTGTGTAATTTTGAGCAAGCTATTTACACTATCTGTATTTCAATTTCTTTCTCTGTAAAATCTGGATAATAGTAATGATTACTTCATAGAGTTGTTGTGAGAACCAAATGAAACAATATACTAAGAAGTTAGAATGTACCTGACATATTGTTTCTCAATAAATGTAGGTCATTATTATTCAAAGCCTATAGTCAGGCAACTTGGAAACATCATTGAATTTCTGTTAGTTACATTTTCAGTGTCCTCCAACTGAATGTCCATAGAAGCTTTAAAAGACTTCCCTGGTAAATAGCAAATTATTCTTCCTGAATCACAAAGGAAAAGTGGAGATGGGAATGGGCATCTAATAGCTCCTACTGCAGAATCTGTTATTGCAAAACATACAATCTCATGGAAAGGTTAAAGGAACTGAATTTAGAAGGAGTGAGCCTATGAAAGTTCTGTCAAAAGTAAGCACATTTATAAATATAAAGTCATTTGGCTTTACAGGTATGAAAATATCATAATAAAGACTTCAAGCAAAATATCAGCTACCAATTTACATGTTATTTCCATTCAAAGAATTAAGATTATTGATGCTTCAATCCGGAAACTTAGATGTTAACTTTCTCCCTCTTTCTTAATCAAAAACCAAATCGTGTAAACTCTACCTTTGAATTATCTCAAATCTGTGAATCTCTTCTCTTTTCAATAGGCCATTATGCTAGCTCAGTTGACCATCATCTCCTGTAGGTATCCCACTAACCGACATCCTCTTCCCCACTATGATTTTCCAGTCTAACTTTCCAAGATAGCTTGCCATCTCCCCTGTGATGATTTAGAAACTCTAAAGAGCTTCTAAACTCTTCTATGTTGAAACATAGCTGACAAATCTTTTTCCACCTGTCACCCATTTATTTCTATAGCTCTACAGAAGTAAGGAAGATACATTCAAGAACCACACATTAACAATTATGTCCCCTACATGTCTGGAGTTTCTGGCAGTGTCTGAATATTATGTCATACAATTCTTTGGAAGATGGCCAACTCAGTTGTATATCTCTTTTTGGTTCTTTAAAAATTCTTTTAAATTTTAAATTTTTGTGGGTACATATTAGGTGTATGTATTGATTCAAAAATTTTCAACAAAATACCAGCAAACGAAATTCAACAATACATTAGAAAGATTATTCATTGTGAGTAAGTGAGATCTATCCCTGGGATGCAATGATAGTTCAAAATATGCAAATCAACCAATGTGATACACCATATCAACAGAATAAAAGATAAAAACATTTTAATCATCTCAATGGATGCTGAAAAAGCTTTTGATAAGATTCAACATCCCTTTGTAATAAAACCTCTAAGCAAACTAGGAATAGAAGAAACATACCTTAACAGAATAAAAACTATATATGACAGACCCACAACTAGTATTGCACTGAATGGGGAAAAACTGAAAGCCTTTCTCCAAGATCTGGAACACAAGGATGCCCCCTTTTATCAGTTTTTGCTGGTATTTTGATGAGGATTTTTGCATCAATATTCATCAGAGATATTGGAATGTAGTTTTCTGTGTTTTGGTGTATCTTCAGTTTCGGTATCAGGATATTTGCCTTATGCAATGAGTTTGAAAGTATTCCCTTCTCTATTTTTTTTTAAACTTTTTCCCATTGGAATTGTTTATCTTTTTTTTATTATTGTACTTTAAGTTCTGGGATACACGGGCAGAACGTGTGGGTTTGTTACATAGATATACATGAACCATGGGGGTTTGCTGCACCCATCAACTTGTCATCTGCACTAGGTATTTCTCATAATGCTATTTCTCCCCTAGCTTTCCACCCTCCAACAGGCCCTGGTGTATGATGCTCCCCTCCCTGTGCCCATGTGCTCTCATTGTTCAACTCCCACTTATGAGTGAGAACATGTGGTGTTTGGTTTTCTGTTCCTGTGTTAGTTTGCTGCCTTCTCCTCTATTTTTCAGAACAGTTTGAGTAGGAATGATATTCTTTAAATGTTTGGTAGAATTCATCAGTGAAGCTATCAAGTCCTGGGCTTTTCTTTACCCAGAGACTTTAGTATAGCTTCAATCTGGTTTCTTGCTATTGGTCTGTTCAGGTTTTGAATTTCTTCCTGGTTCAATCTTGGCAGGTTGTATGTGTCTAAGAATTTGCCCATTTCTTTTAGATTTTCCACTTTATTGATATATAGTTACTCATGGTAACCACTAATGATCCTTTGAATTTCTGCAGTATCAGTTGTAATGTCTTCTTTTTTATTTCTGATTTTATTTTTTTGGAACTTCTCTCCTTTTTTCTTAATTAGTCTGGGTCAAAGTTTGTCAATTTTGTTTAACTTTTCAAAAGACCATCTTTTAATTTCATTAAAGATGAAATACTTTCATACATTTTCATTTTGATTTCATTTATTTCATACTTTTTTTTTCTATTTCATTTATTCCTGTTCTGATCTTTATTATGTCTTTTGCTCTACAAATTTTGGGTTTGGTTTGGTCTTGCTTTTCTAATTCTTTAAAATGCACTGTTAGATTATTTATTTGAAGTTTTTCTTCTTTCTTGATGTAGGTATTTATAGCTATAGACTTTCCTCTTGGTACTGCTTTTGCTGTGTCTCATAGGTTTTTAAATGTTGTGGTTCCATTATCATTTGCATCAAGAAATGTTTCAATTACTTTCTTAATTTCTGCATTAACCCACTGGTCATTCAGGAGCATACTGTTTAATTTTTATGTATTTATATAGTTTACAAAAGTCCTCATTATTAATTTCTTCTATCTATCTATCTATCTATCTATCTATCTATCTATCTATCTATTTATTGATTTATTTATTTTTGAGATGGAGTCTTGTTTTGCCACCCAGGCTAGAGTGAAGTGGGGTGATCTCAGCTCACTGCAACTTACGCCTCCCAGGTTTAAGTGATTCTCATGTCTCAGCTTCCCAAGTAGCTGGGATTACAGGTGCGTGCCACCATGTCTGGCTAGTTTTTTTTTTCCCCTTTTTTGTATTTTTAGTATAGACAGGTTCTCACCATGTTGGCAAGGCTGGTCTCTAACTCCTGACCTCAAGTGATCTGCCCACCTCAGCCTCCAAAACTGCTTGAATTGCAGGTTTGAGCCACTGGGCCTGACTCTTGTTATTAATTTCTAGCTTTAATACATTATTGTCAGAGAAGATTCTTGATATTATTTCAATTTTTTGAATATTTTAAGATGTTTTGTAATCAAACGTATGGTCTATCATTGAGAATGATTCATGTACTGAGGATGAGAATGTGTATTCTGAAGCTCTTGGATAAAATGTTCTGTAGATATCTATTAGATTTATTTGGTCTACAGTGCAGATTAAGTCTGATATTTCTTTGTTGATTTTCTGTCTGGAAGATTTGTCCAATGCTGAAAGTGGGGTCTTGAAATCTCCAGCTATTATTGCATTCAGGTCTATTTCTCTCTTTAGCTC